AGCACCCGCAGCAGCACCAGAGTCACCAGTAACCTCGACAGGCTCGACTACGTCTACCAGGGACACGCCTGAAGGGGCAGGACCCTGAGGGGGGAGGGGGTCTACCTGGGCGGGACCTGGCACAAGGAAGAGCGGTGGCGGGGGGAGAGAAGGAGTGCGGTAGGGGAAGAGGCGGTAGTAGGGCACCGACTCGTCAAACGTGACGTCCTGGGAGGACAGAACACGATGAGAGGTGGGGTGGTAGAACTGCCACCCTAGCGCGTCAGGGGGGAAGCCAAGGAAGACGCAAGGAGCAGCACAAGGGGACAGCTTGTCCGCAGACAAGTCGCGGACAAACGCCCGAGATCCCCAGACACGGAACGCAGACGCATCGCCTACCTTCCTCGTCCACAGCAAAGTTGGGGAGGTCTCCGGCATGGAGACCCTGGGGTGAAGGTTGATCTGATGCGCCTCGTACCGAACCGCAAACGGCCACAGAAAATGGGGGGCAGCCGCATGCATCATGGACGTACGGGCAACGTCCATGACCATGCCAATGCGGCGCTCAGCAATCTCATTTTGCTGTGGAGAGTCCGGAAGCGTGAAGGTCTGGCGGATGCCTCGCGCACGGCAGTAGGCTCGCAGAAGGCCAGAGGAGAACTCTCGGTCTCAGTCAGAGTGTAGACGCAGAACAGGAAAGTCCGAGCCAAAGCTCCTCCTGAGCTGGAGACGAGCTGCACGGATCCAGTCGATCAACACCTCAGTGACATCACCCTTGCTGCGCAAGGGGAATTCTGTGGTGTAACGCGAGTAGTCGTCAACCACCAGCAGGAAGTAGCGCTCGTGACCCAGTCCACGGACGCGGGCCGGGCCCCACACGTCCATGTGAAGCGTCTGCAGCGGGACCACTGTCGGGGGAAACTGAGAGGAGTGAGGGGCAGCCCGCAGCCGCCCCTCGACACAGGGGACGCAGGAAGGGCCAGGCCCCGGAGGAAGGGGAGGGAGGGACCGGGGAGGACCAGAGACAAGGACACGGGAGGCCATGCCTCGGAGACGAGGCAGGGAGGGGAGACCAAGGCGGTGGTGCCACAGGAGAGTCTCATGAGACAGGAGGCGACACGAGCAGGGGGCAGACTCAGAACCAGACTTGGACGGTGCAGCAAACACCTGACCCGACGCAGCTACCTGACCAGACGCATGGACAGCAGGAGACTCAATGGTCACGGTGTAGAGGCTCGACCCCGGCCGACGCGTAAACGTGGCCAGGTGCCGGCTTGTGCGAGCGTCCGAGCAGTGGGTCACCCGCTGACTCGCAGGAGTAAACTGGTGAACCCTCGCATCCTGTAGGTCAGCACCACTCACCAAGTTTGTAGAGAACGAGGGGAGGTAAAGACCAGACAAGGTGCCCAAGGGGGCAGCCGGACACGAGAGGACAGTGGAGAAGTGAGAAAGGACAGGACCCCCAGAGGGGTCTGCCAGGGAGACTGCAACCGGCCGACCAAGCGGCGTGAGTGTGGTGCGGTCTTGAAAGAAGGAGCGAGAAGCCCCTGAGTCAAGTGTGAAGGTGAGGGAGGCCGAAGCCGACGCGGTACCTGAGAGCGCAGACTCACCAGCACCTGAGGACGCAGACGCACTGGCACCTAGAGCAGCAACCTCACTGGCACCTAGAGCAGCAGCCTCACTAGTACCTAGAGCAGCAGTCTCAATGCCCGGGCCGGGCGGGAAACACTGGTAACAGTCACCCTCATCACTAATAGTCACAGCATACATGGCAGCAAGAAAAGCATCGAAGTCAAGATCAAAGATAGCTACACCCGCCCTAGACAACTCACCCCAGCGGGGGATCTCAGTGGCCTCTGGGAACTGGTGACGCCAAGCATCCGTCAGGCGGCCAAAGCAGCGCTAAGTGGGGTGTGCACCCCCACACTTCTCAGCCGCGCGGTCGCTGGTGCGTAGGACAAAGGTGCACGGACCAGTACCCCCACCACGCTGACGTGCAGCGTACCACTCACGGAGCTGCTGAGGGGGGGGGATGTCGCGAGAACGCTGCTGCTGCTGCTGCTGCTAGCGTTGACCACCACCGGAGCCGCTCCACTGCGTAGCGCCACCCCGACCAGCTCCACCTCCTCCACTACCGCCTCCTCCACCTCCGCCACCACCGCCGCCTCCGCTCCCACCGCTACCGCCTCCGCCGCCTCCGCCTCCACTGCCGCCACCGACACCTCCACCCCCGCCACCACTCCCACCGCCACCCCCACTCCCTCCGCCGCCTCCACCGCCGCCTCCACCACCCCCGCTAGCTCCTCCCGCGCCCCTGCCCCCCTTGCCCTTGCCAGAGCGGCGTCTCCCGCTAGGGGCAGATGCCGCACCGACCGACTCAAGACCAAGGAGGTGGGCCGCAGCAGCAGAGGCGACAGAGGGCAAAAGGGGGTAAGGGGAACACCCCTCAAAGACGGGGGTGCGAGGGTCACCACGAGAGGCTCCTATAGCAACTATGCTCTTCTCCATTGCTAAGAGGGCCTTCTCGAGGAGGTCAACAGTGAGAGTGGTGGGACAGAGTGAGAGGAAGTGGTCCGTGACTACACGAAGGGAGTCAGGGAGGCGGGTGACTATTTAGTAGAGAGTGATGTACATGGGGGGGGGGGGGGGTTCTTGGCGCAGAACTCAACAAGAAGTGCAGTGCGGTAGCGAGTGTCACTAGTCCGGAGGTGCGTGATGAGGTCAGCGACTGTGGGAAAAGCAGTAAGGTCAGGGAAGAGGTACGGTAGCATGAGGCGGCTCAGTGCGGCAGTGGCAGGGGAAGAGTAGCGCACAACTTCAGCGTCGTACAAGGTCTGAGCAAACAGTGGCATCGGCATCGGCAGGAGGGGCAGGGGAGGCACCAGAGGTGAGGTCAAAGAGGGAGAGACTGTCTGCCCTATCGCACTGTAGGAAAAGCTGCAGGTCATCTACCAAGACGTCAAAGTCAATGGCCTGACCCTCAGCGTCAAAAGTGAGAACACTAGGGGTAGCCATGATAGCAGTAGACTAGCAGCGCTAACTGTAGAGCAGGGGCAGTGCAGTGACAGAGGCGCTGCTCTCACCAGACAGGGCGGTTCGGGCAGCTCGGCAGCACAGCAGCTTGGCAACACGGCGGCTTGGGCGACTCGGGCGGCCCGGCAGCAACTTTGGCTCGGCGCCACCCGCGGCTCGGCTCCTCAGCTGCTCAGGCGGCTCGGACGACTGGGGCGGCTCGGGCGGCTCGGGCGGAACGGGCGGCTCGGGCTGCTTAGCGGTGCGGGCGGCTCGGCTACATAGGGCGGCAGGGCCGCTTGTAGGGTGGCGGGGCCGCTAGAAGGGTGGCGGGGCCGCAGGTAGGGCGGCGGGGCTGCTGGTAGGGCGGCGGGGCCGTAGGAAGGGCGGCGGGGCCGCTGGTAGGGCGGCGGGGCTGCAGGTAGGGTGGCGGGGCCACTGGTAAGGTGGCGGGGCCGCTAATAGGGCGGCGGGGCCGCAGGTAGGGCGGCGGGGCGGGGCCGTAGGTAGGGCGACGGGGCCGGGTGGAAGGTAGGGCGACGGGGCCGGTACGCAGGTAGGGCGACGGGGCCGGGGCCGGGGCGCAGGTAGGCCGACAGGGCCTGGGTCGGAGGTGGGGCGACGGGGCCGGGGTCGCAAGTAGGGCGACGGGGCCGGGGTCGGGGCGCAGGTAGGGCGACGAGGCTAGGGCCGGGGCCGCAGGTATGGCGGCGGGGCCATGGTCGCAGTTGGGGCGACGGAGCCGGGGTCGCAGGTAGGGCGACGGGGCCAGGGCGCAGGAAGGGCAACGGGGCCGGGGCGCAGGTAGGGCAACGGGGCCGGGGCGCAGGTAGGGCGACGGGGCCGAGGCTCAGGTAGGGCGACGAGGCCGAGGCTCAGGTAGGGCGACGGGGCCGGGGCCGTAGGTAGGGCGACGGGGTCGCTAGGGCGGCTCGACGTGGCCGCTAGGGCGGCTTGACTAAGTCAGAGAGGGGAGCGCGACTCGGGCTGAGCACGCTCCGGGCAGGAAAAAAAAAAACTTTCGACTTGGTGGGCCCTAGGCATAGTTCCCACGAGGGAACCTGCTTGATACCATGAGAAAACTGAAATGAGAATGAGTGCACTAAAGAATGAAAGTGGTACAAATATGCAACCCTAGAAATGTGTACCCATATAGGCTACCCCACTACAGCCTACACAACATTATAATTTGACACTCCCTAGGTAGACCCCCTCCCCGCTCTCGCTCCTGCTCCTTCAGGTGTGTCTCACGTAAACCCTCCTCCCTTGACTGAGCCGGTTGAGGTCACAGGTGACTCAGCTCCTGCTGGGGGTGGTCCTGCTCGAGGTACTGCTTCTGGGGGTGCTAAGCCTTTGGGTGCGGAGCCTGGGGTGCTGAGCTTGAAGGTGCAGAGCTTGGGGGTGCTGAGCTTGAGGGTGCGGAGCTTTGGAGTGCTGAGCCTGAGGGTGCGGAGCCTGGAGGTGCTGAGTCTGGGCGTGAGGAGTCTAGGGGTGTTGCGCCTCAGGGCATTGAGGCGCCTGGTGAGCAGTCTCCTTGGAGCGGCCTCCTCCGTAGTCGCTCTGCTGGTGCCTCGCCACAGCGCTCTCGTAGTCGTGTCCCACTCTCCCCACAGCAGCTGTGCAAGTGGTACGTTAGCCGCCATGGTCGCAATGCTGGAGTTGGGGGTGACGAGAAGTGAGAATGGAATGGATGAACTATGAAACAGTTGGGTACAAGTACTAACCCTAATTAGGTTGTACCCCTTATGGGCTACCCCACTACAGCCTACACAAATGTATAAGCTATAATGTTCTGACACACCCCCATAGGCAAAGTGGGGGAGAGAAAGTGGTCACAAGACCAGTCAAGCAAAGCGAAGAAAAGCAAAGCGAGCTCAGGGTGGATCACAAAGTCACCAGACAGACCGAGCACAAGAGTAAAGGCCACAAGGCCAATTCACATGCAAGGTCATATATATAAAGGTAAAACAAGCAAGGGCAAGTATAGAAAGAATGCAGTACAAACAAGATCAAGAAGTGAGCAAGTGAGGCCAGGTAGGCACAAGACCTAGCACAGTACAGAAGCGCTGATGATCACAAGGCGCAAGCGCCTTGGTGAAGATATCAGCAGTGTTGGCCTCAGAGGCCACGTAGGTGAGGCAGAGCTGACCACGCTGCTGCAGCTCACGAGCCAGGAAGTAGCGGAGAGCAATGTGCTTCGTTCTGTGCTCCAGTTTGTGCTCCCGACACAAGGCCAGCATGGCCTTGTTGTCTACGTACAGAACTGGAGGAGAACGAGGCGGCTCTCCTAGGTCAGTCAGCAGGTAGGTGAGCCAGCGTAGCTCTTGTGCAGCCATGGCCCCTGCATAGATCTCAGCCTCATAGCTGGAGCCGAGAACAGAGGACGAGCGGGTAGACCGCCAGGAAACAGAGCCCGAGCCAAGGCTGAAGGTGTAACCCTGTGACGACCGCTGCGTAGCCTTATGGTTAGCCCAAGAAGCATCAGCGTGACCTGTGAAGACTCCTCGACGTCGCCCTCCAAGCACTAGCCCCATGCCTGACGTACTGCACAAGTAGCACAACACCCTCTTCGCTGCAGCCATGTGCTCTGGTCGGTGTCTGCCAGGAGCAACATAGCGTGCCAAGATGCTAAGAGGGTATGCAAGGTCAGGTCGTGTGCAGGTCATCAAGTACATGAGCCAGCCAACAAGCTCTAAGTACGGGCCACTCGACTCTACGAACTCATCCGAAGGCAGAGCTGAGAGCGAGTGGCGAGTAGACAGAGGAGTGGCATGAGGCGAGGAGTACGTGAAGCCGAAGCGCTGAAGGACCTGCTGCACCATGTGTGACTGAGTCAGGGTAATGGTGTGGCGTGCTCTCTCCCGGGTGATCTGCAAGCCAAGGTAGCTACGCAGTTCACCTAGGTCTGTGCACGTGTGTCTCATCTGCAACTCTGACTTCACGTGGGCGAGTCCAGCAGTGTTAGCAGTGGCAAAGACCAAGTCGTCAACGTACACGAGGATGTAGAACGGCGGCAAAGAAGTGTCGGTGTGCAGAAACAGCGACGGGTCGGCTGTAGAAGGAGCAAACCCAAGAGCCGTAAGTGTAGCCCTCAGTGTGTCGTGCCACTCACGGGGCGCCTGGCGGAGACTGTAGACCGGCCGCCGAAGGCTCCACTGGGTACCAGGAGGAAACGACCCAGTGAAACCAGGAGGGCGGCGCAGCCAGATCTCCTCGTGCAGGCTCCCCTGCAGGAAAGCTGTGCTGAAGTCAAGAGAGCGAAGCTCGTAGTCATGTTGAGCGGCTATGTGCAGCAGTACCCGAAGAGTGGCCATCTTCGGGGTGGGAGAGAAGGTCTGAAAGTAGTCAACTCCCTGCCGCTGACTAAAGCCACGAGCCACGTAACGCGCCTCGAAGACAGGCGGAGAGCCAAGCGGCCCCTTCACCCTGAAAATCCACATGCCACTGACGATGTTCGCCCCAGGTGGGGGAACCTCGTCGACGTAGGTGCGTGTGGACTTCCAGGAAGCCATCTCTGCGTCCATGGCCGACTGCCATTGAGAGGAGTAGGGACCCTCGATCGCCTCAGCGTAGGATTGAGGAGTCGGGATGTCTGTTGCATCCGGGTCTCCCTCAGAAACAATCACCGTGGACACGAGATGGGGCAAAGCAGCCGCAAAGCACTGGAACTCCTCCTGCTTGTCCTCAAGGACGTCCGCGCTAAGAGCACACTCACCCCCGACAGACGGAGGACAGACAAACTCAGACTCAACAACGAGACTGGCAGCGTAGTCTAGACGATAGCAAGCAGCGAAGTCGACAAGCTCAGCAACTAGGGCACACACAGCAGTGGACTCAACGGAAGGGTCAGTGACAACAGTCGCAAGAAGGCGCGTGACTGAAGGACTAGCAGCACGAAGGGAGTCAGACTCTGGGTCAGCAAGAAAAGGAAGAGAGGACTCTGGAGGAGACGACGAAGGGACATGCAGAGGAGCAAAGGAAGGACGCAGTGCCATCTGGTGTGTGCCGGGGACCGCAGGAGGACGCGGACGCGCAACACGACGACTAGTGCGAGCAACACGAATAGGCGACGCAGGCTCACGACGCTCAGCAAGACCTCCAGCAGGACCAGTGTAAAGAGAAGGAGCAGGTAGAGGGGAGGCGGGCTGTAACTGTGACTGCGACTGGACAGGCTGTGGACACTCTAAGGGAGGAGTAGGACCAGGAGAGGGCGTGAGACCAAGAATCTGCTCCAGGAGCGGAACGAAGTACGGCCTCGGCCGCTCAGCGCCTCCAGAACCAGCAAGGACGGCACCAGTACCCCCAGCGGCAGCACCAGCGCCAGAAGCACCTCCAGCTCCAACAGCTCCAGCTCTAGGACCCTCAGAAGCACCAGCGCCAGCAACACCACCAGCGCCAACAGCCGCAGCAGCTCCAGCTCCAGCAGCACCAACTCCAGTAGAACCGCCAGCACCAGCAGCCTCAGCAGCACCCCTGGACGCACCAACACCAGTAGAAACACCAGCGCCAACACCCCCAGCAGCTCCACCTCCAGTAGCACCAGTACCTCCAGCAGCACCCCCAGACTCAGCAGCACGTCGCCACCGGCGGGCGAACCACTCGCGCAACTCCTGTGGAGAGAGCGGCTCCCGCCTCGATGAAGCACCGCCGGCGGCCACATGAGCAGACCAAGCACCCCCAGGCTCCGCACCCCCAGATTCAGTACCCCCAGGCTCAGCACCCCCAAGCTCAGCACCCCCAGACTCAGCACCCCCAGACCTAGCACCCCCAGACCCGGCACCCGCAGGCTCAGCACCTCTAGCAGCACCAGAGTCAACAGCTACCTCGACAGGCTCGACTGCGTCTACTTGGGACACACCTGACGGGGCAGGACCCTGAGGGGGGAGGGGGTCTACCTGGGTAGCACGTGGCGCAAGGAAGAGCGGCAGCGGGGGGAAGGGCGCAGTGCGGTAGGGGAAGAGACGGTAGTAAGGCACCGACTCGTCAAAGGTGACGTCCTGGGAGGACAGAACACGACGCTTCGTGGGGAAGCCAAGGAAGCCACAAGGAACAACACGGGGGGACAGCTTGTCCGCAGACAAGTCGCGGACAAACGCCCGAGATCCCCAGACCCGAAACGCAGACGCATCGCCAACCTTCCCTGTCCACCGCAAGGCGGGGGAGGTCTCTGGCAAGGAGACTCGGGGCTGAAGGTTGAGCTGATGCGCGGCGTACTGAACCGCAAATGGCCACAGAAAATGGGGGGTAGCCGCATGCATCATCGATGTACGAGCGACGTCCATGACCATGCCAATGCGGCGCTCAGCAATCCCATTTTGCTGTGGAGAGGCCAGAAGCGTGAAGGTCTGGCGGATGCCTTGTGCACGACAGAAGGCTCCCAGACGGGCAGAGGAAAACTCCCCGCCTCTGTACGAGTGCAGACGCAGAACAGGAAAGTCCGAGCCGAAACTCTCTCTAAGCAGGAGACGAGCTGCGCGGATCCAGTCGATCAACACCTTAGTGACGTCACCTTTGCTGTGTAAGGGGAAGACTGTGGTGTAACGCGAGTAGTCGTCAACGACCAGTAGAAAGTACCGCTCTCTCTCCTGCCCACTGACGCGGGCTGGGCCCCACACGTCCATGTGGAGAGTCAGCAGTGGAACCTTTGTCGGAGGAAACTCGGAGGAGTGAGGGGCGGCGCGCTGTCGCCCCTCGACGCAGGGGACCCAGGTAGGGCCAGGCCCCGGAGGAAGGGGAGGGAGAGACCGAGGAAGACCAGAGACAAGGACACGGGAGGCCATGCCTCGGAGACGAGGCAAGGAGGGGTGACCAAGGCGGTGGTGCCAAAGGAGAGTCTGGTGGGACAGCAGACAACACGAGCACGGGGCAGACTCAAGACCAGACTTGCACGCCACAGCAAACACCTGACTCGAGGCAGCTACCTGGGTAGACTCAGAAGTAGGAGGAGACTCAGCAGTAAGGGAGTACAGGCTCGACCCTGGCCGACGGGTGAACGTGGCCAAGTGTCGGCCTGTCCGAGAACACGTGTAGTGGGTCACTCGCTGACTCGCAGCAGTGAACTGGTCAACCCCTCGATCTTGTAGGTCCGCTCCACTCACCAATTTCGTAGAGAACGAGGGGAGGTAGAGACCAGACAGGGTGCCAGAGGGGGCTGCAGGGCACGGAAGGACAGTGGAGAAGCTAGCAAGGACAGAACCCTCAGAGGGGTCTGCCAGGGAGACTGCAACCGGCCGACTAAGCGGCGTAAGAGTGGTGCGGTCTCGAAAGAAGGAGCGGGACGCACCCGAGTCTAGAGTGAAGGTGTGGAAGGCCTGAGCCGACGTAGTACCTCTGAGAGCAGACTAGCCATCACCTGGGGTGGCAGATGCACTGGTACCTGGGGCAGCAAACGCACTAGCACCTAGATCAGCAGCCTCACCAGCACCTAGCGCAGCAGCCTCAATGCCCGGGTCAGGCGGTACACACCGGTAATTGGCACCCTCAAGACTATCTGCAACAGCATACATGGTAGCAAGAAAAGCATCAAAGTCAAGATCAAAGATAGCAACCCCGGCCTTAGCCAGATCTCCCCAGCGAGGGATCTCTGACGCCTCAGGGAAGTGGCAACGCCACGCGTCCATCAGGCGACCAAAGCAGCGCTTGGTGGAGTGCGGACCTCCGCACTGCTCACCAGTGCGGTCGCCGATACGGAGAACGTAAGAGCAGGGACCAAAACCCCCACCGCGCTGGCGTGAAGTGTACCACTCACGAAACTGCTGAGGGGACAGGGTGACTCCACTCCGGTGGAGCTGCTGGCGCTGACCACCACCGGCGCCACTCCTCTGCGCAGAGTCGTGACTCGCTCCACCACCGCCGCCTCCTCCACCTCCGCCTCCTCCACTACCTCCGCCGCCTCCACTCCCTCCGCCACCTCCACTGCCTCCGCCGCCTCCAGTGCTGCCGCCGCTGCCGCCACCCCCGCCACCACTCCCACCACCACCCCCACTCCCTTCACCGCCTCCACCACCACCTCCACCGCCCCCTCCAGCCCCTCTAGTGCCCTTGCCCCCCTTGCCCTTGCCGGTGCGGCGTCTCTCGCTCGGGGCAGACGCAGCGCCGACCGACTCAAAACCAACGAGGTCGGCCGCAGCAGCAGAGGCAACAGAGGGCAAGAGGGGGGAGGGAGAACACCCCTCAAAGACGGGGGTGCGAGGGTCACCACGAGAGGCTCCTACAGCGACTATGCTCTTCTCTATCGCTAGGAGGGCCTTCTCGAGGAGGTCAACGGTGAGAGTGGTGGGGCAAACAGCGAGGAAGTGGTCCCTGACTACCCGAAGTGAGTTAGGGAGCTGGGTGACTATGTAGTAGAGGGTGATGTACATGGTGGGGGGGGGGTTCTTGGCGCAGAACTCAGCAGGAAGCGCAGCGCGGTAGTGAGTGTCACTAGTGCGGAGGTGCGTAATGAGGTCAGCGATAGTGGGAAAGGCAGCAAGGTCTGGGAAGAGGTACGGTAGCATGAGGCGGCTCACTGCAGAAGTGGCAGGGGAAGAGTAGTGTGCAACTACAGTGTCGCACAAGGTCCGAGCACTCTTGTACTGGCTAAAGTGTGCACGCTCAGTGGTCGGTAAGTGGCGGCGCACAGCAAGGCGAGCAGCAGCATCACGTGTGGCCCACTGTGAGCGAACAGTGGCGTCAGCATCAGCAGCAGGGGCAGGGGAGGCACCAGAAGTGAGGTCAAACAGGGAGAGGCCGTCTGCCCTATCGCACTGCAGAAAAATCTGCAGATCATCTACCCAGACGTCAAAGTCCACTGCCCGACCCTCTGCGTCAAAGGTGAGAACGCTAGGGGAAGCCATAACAGTAGTAGGCAGGCACTGAGTACAGTGAGGCAGGGCAGTGCAGTGGCAGAGACTGTGCTCTTGCCAGGCAGGTGGGGCGATCGGGCTGCTCGGCGGCTCGGTTGTCGGGCGGCTCGGCTGCAGGGCGGCTCGGCTGCTGGGCGGCTCGGTTGCTAGGCGGCTCGGCTGCACTGTGCTGGGCGGCTCGGCTGTCGGGCGGCTCGGTTGCTGGGCGGCTCGACTGCTGGGCGGCTTGGTTGCTGGGCGGCTAGGCGGTCGGGCGGCTCGGCTGATGGGCGGCTTGGGCGGTCGGGCGGCTCAGCTGACCGGCGGTTCGGCTGCTCGGCGCTCTGGGCACTGGGCGGCGGGGTCGCAGGTGGTGGCGAGGCCGCAAGTGGCGGCGGGGCCTAAGGTGGCGGCGGGACGCAAGGGTGGGCAGGGCCGTAGTGGGCGTCGGGGCCGTAGTGGGCGGGGCCGCACGTGGCGATGGGGCCGAAGTGGGCGACGGGGCCACAGGTGGCCGTAGCGGGGCTGTAGCGGGGCCTAAGCGGGGCCGTAGCGGGGTCGAAGCGGGGCCGTAGAGGGGCCATAGCGGGTCCGTAGCAGGGCCGTAGCGTGGCCGTAGCGGGGCCTAAGCGGCGCCGTAGCGGGGCCGTAGCGGGGCCGCAGCGGGGCCGTAGTAGGGCCGTAGCGGGGTCGTAGCGGGGCCTTAGCAGGGCCGTAAGGGGCCAGACGGGGCCTAAGCAGGGCCGCGGGGGGGCCGTAAGGGTCACGACGGGGCCACGGAGGGGCCTAAGCGGGGCCGCAACGAGGCCGTAAGGGGCCTAAGCGGGGCCGCTACGGGGCCGTAAGGGGCCTAAGCGGGGCCGCGACGGGGCCGTGAGGGGCCTAAGCGGGGCCGCGACGGGGCCGTAAGAGGCCTAAGCGAGGCCGTAGAGGGCGGCTCGAGGGGCAGTAAGGGCGGCCAACAGGGGCCACTAAGGCGGCTCGAGGCGCTACTCGGGTTAGGAGCGAAGTGCGCTCCGGGCAGGGAAGGAAAAAAAAAGTTCGTGGTGGACCCTAGGCAGTATTCCCACTCGGGAACCTACTCGATACCATGACGAGAAGTGAGAATGGAATGGATGAACTATGAAACAGTTGGGTACAAGTACTAACCCTAATTGGGTTGTACCCCTTATGGGCTACCCCACTACAGCCTACACAAATGTATAAGCTATAATGTTCTGACAGGGGGCCCTGCTACGGGAGGTGCTGGCGTTGGAGGCCTTGGAGCTGGCGCTGTCCCGCTCTCCCCACAGCATCTGCGTGAGTGGTACATTAGCCATCAGGGTCGCGCTTCTGGAGCTGGGGGCTTGCTGCGGGAGGCGCTGTTGCTGGTGACTCTGTTGCTGGAGGTGTTTCTTTTGGAGTTCCTAGAGCCGCTGGTCCCGGAGGTGCTCGTACTGGAGGAACTGGAGCTGTTGGGGCAGGTGGTACTGCTGGACCTAGAGGTGCTGTTGTTAGAGACACTGGGGGTGGAGACCCTGGGAATGGAGGTGGCGGTTCTGGGGATGCTGCTGCTGGAGGTGCTGGTCCTGGAGGTGCTGTTGCTGGAGGTTCTGGAGCTGCTGGAGGTCCTCGTACTGGAGGTGCTGGCGCTGGAGGTTTTGGAGCTGGTGGAGGTGCTAGCGATGGAGGCGCTGGAGTTGGAGGTTTTGGAGCTACTGGTGCTGGTAGCCCTGCACAGCCGCGATTGTTCTTCGCTCCGCCGTCGCCTTCGTCCCCACCACCGCCTGACTCCGTGCTTCGCCAGGTTCTTAGCCTCCCGTCTTCTACCGGTCTTCCCCTACAGCCTAGCTCACCGCTACTCCTTCTCCTTTTACTGAGGAAACAGGGGGTCTTACCGAGCCTCGTGAGCCTGCGTCTCGTCCTGTCTTGCCTGTTCGCACTGTCCGCACTGGTTGTACTGATCGTCGTGTTCCTCGTGAGCGTCTGCCGGCTGTCCCCGGCACACACCTCATGGCTCTACTTCCTTCCTCTCTTACGCTGCGTGTTCCCCTGCCGTCCCCTCTTGCGTCCTCTCTGCTTGACGTTCTAGACCCTGAGTCTAACAGCGCTCGTGCTGCTCACCCTACTGTCACGCGCCTGCTAGCCACTGTTGTCACTAATCCGTCATTTGAGTCTGCTGCTGCGTCTGCCTTAGTCGTTGCGCTTGTTGACTTTGCTGCTGCCTGTCGTCTGGACTACGCCGCTAGTCTTGTTGCTAATTCTGGGTCTGTCTGTCCTCCGTTCGTCGGGGGTGAGTGTGCTCTTGACACAGACGTCCTTGAGGATAGGCACGAGAAGTTTGAGTGCCTTGCAGCCACTTCGCCTCATCTTGTGGCCATGCTGCTTGTCCCTGAGGGAGACCCGGATGCTCCAGACATCCCTACCCCGCGCTCTTACGTTGAGGCGATTGTTATAGTCACAGTAGGCTCCAATGTGCCTAAAACGAAAGATAGAGTGCACAGTCGGATTTCTGCACAGCGGCTTCAAACGTTCATAGCGATCTTCTCACAACTCCAAATGATTTCATTCAACTTGGATCTGGAGCGCCTTATTGTCGCCTACACTAGGCAATTTAGATCGCACGATTTGACCAAGTATTGACGACACAGCATTGGTTTGAACGAACGGCACTATGGCAGCCACTAGAGTCTTAGAACACAAGATAGGAAGAGTTAGGGAGAGTTACGAGTTGGGAATGACTCTCAGCTCCTACATGAGAAACTATGAGCAGAGGGATGAATTGACTAAGTCAGAGTTGGGTACAAATACAACCCTAGCAAACTGTACCCCATATGTGCTACCCCACTATGGCCTACAAACATGCATCAGCTATAATAATCTGACACACCCCCATAGGCAAAGTGGGGGAGAACAAGGGGTCACAAGACCAGTCAAGCAAAGCAAAACAAGCTCAGGGTGGATCACAAAGTCACCACACAGTCCGAGCACAAGAGCAAGGCCAGAGGCCAGTTCACATGCAGGAGTAAAGACATATATATAAAACTAGACAAGCAAGAGCAGGTATATATATGTCAAAGTACAAGTAAAGTCAAGAAGAGAGCAAGTGAGGCAAGACAGTAACAAGACCCAGCTGGGTACAAAAGCGCTGATGGTCGCAAGGCGCAAGTGCCTTGGTGAACACATCAGCAGTGTTGGCCTCAGAGGCCACGTAAGCAAGTCGCAACTGACCACGCTGCTGCAGCTCACGAGCAAGGAAGTAGCGGAGAGCAATGTGCTTCGTTCTGTGCTCCAAGCGCTGCTCTCGACACAAGGCCAACATGGCCTTGTGTCGGCAAGAGAGTCCGACTCCGGGTCGGCAAGAGCAGGAAGAGAGGAAGCAGGAGGAGAAGGCAAAGGGGCACGCAGAGGAGCAGTGGACGGACGCAGTGACATCCGGTGCGTGCCAGGGACAGGAGGAGGACGCTGACGCGACCCGCGACCACTAGCGCGCTCAGTACGAACAGGCGACGCAGGACGAGACGCAGGCTCACGACGCTCAGTAAGACCTCCAGTCGGACCAGCGTAGGGAGAAGGAGCAGGCAAAGGGGAGGCAGGCTGAAGCTGTGGCTGTGACCGGACAGGCTGCGGACCCTCTAAGGAAGGAGGAGGAGGTGTAAGACCAAGAACCTGCTGCAGGAGCGGAACGAAGTACGGTCGAGGCCGCGCGGCGACGCGAGAAACAGCAGGAACAGCACCAGCACCCCCGGCAGGAGCACCCACTCCAGCAGCACCTCCAGCAGAACCACCAGAAGCTCCAGAACCTCCAGCAGCAGCACCAGGAGCACCGTCAGTCGGACCACCAACTGCAGGCTCAGCGCCAACGTCCTCAGCAGGACCAGCTCCAGGAGAACACTCAGACCCAGCAGCTCCAGCACCCACAGGACGAGCACCGCCAGGTCGCGTGGCAGCAGCGCCCTCCGCAGCCGAAGAACCACCAGCACCAGCGGCACGCCTCCAGCGCCGGGCAAACCACTCACGCAGCTCCTGTGGAGAGAGCGGCTCCCGGTGAGACGAAGCACCCCCAAGCACAGCACCTCCAGGCTCGGCACCTCCCGGCTCAGCACCCCCAGGCTCAGTACCCCCAGACACAGCACCCCCAGGCACAGCACCCCCAGGCTCAGCACCCCCAGGCTCAGCACCCCCAGGCCCAGCACCCCCAGACTCCGCACCCCCAGGCTCCGCACCCCCAGGCTCAGCACCCCTAGACTCCGCACCCCCAGGCTCAGCTCCCGCAGCAGCACCGGAGTCACCAGTGACCTCGACAGGCTCGACCGCGTCTACCTGAGACACACCTGAAGGGGCAGGACCCTGAGGGGGGAGGGGGACTACTGGGGGGGGACCTGGTACCAAGAAGAGGGGGGGTGGGGGGAGGGACGGAGTGCGGTAGGGGAAGAGGCGGTAGTAGGGTACCGACTCGTCGAACGTGACGTCCTGGGAGGACAGAACACGTCGAGAGGTGGGGTGGTAAAACTGCCACCCAGGGGCGTCGGGGGGGAACCCGAGGAAGACGCAGGGAGAAGCACGAGGGGACAGCTTGTCCGCAGACAGGTCGCGAACAAACGCCCGAGATCCCCAGACCCGGAACGCCGACGCATCGCCAACCTTCCCCGTCCACAACAGAGCTGGGGAGGTCTCCGGTCGAGAGACCCTGGGGTGGAGGTTGATCTGGTGCGCAGCGTACCTGACCGCAAACGGCCACAGAAAATGGGGAGCAGCCGCATGCATCATGGACGTACGAGCGACGTCCATGACCATGCCAATGCGGCGCTCAGCGATCCCATTCTGCTGTGGTGAGTCCGGAAGCGTGAAGGTCTGACGGATGCCTCGCACACGACAGTAGGTACTCAGGAGGGCCGAGGAGAACTCTCCGCCTCTGTCCGAGTGCAGACGCAAGACAGGGAAGTCAGAGCCAAAGCTTCTCCGAAGCTGAAGACGAGCTGCGCGGATCCAGTCGATCAACACCTGAGTGACCTCACCCTTGCTGCGCAAGGGGAAGACTGTGGTGTAACGCGAGTAGTCGTCAACCACTAGCAGGAAGTAGCGCTCCTGACCCTGTCCACGGACGCGGGCTGGGCCCCACACGTCCATGTGAAGCGTCTGCAACGGGGCCTCTGTCGGAGGAAACTGGGAGGAGTGAGGGGCAGCACGCTGGCGCCCCTCGACACAGGGGACACAGGCAGGGCCAGGGCCCGGAGGAAGGGGAGGGAGGGACCGGGGAAGACCAGACACAAGGACCCGCGAGGCCATGCCTCTGAGCCGAAGCAGAGAGGGGTGGCCAAGGCGGTGGTGCCAGAGGAGGGTCTCGTGAGACAGACGACGACACGAACAAGGGGCAGACTCAGGACCAGACCTGGACGCTGCAGCAAACACCTGACCAGACGAAGGGGCCCTACCAGACGCAGTACCTGGAGGAGAAGCAGTGGTCAGTGTGTACAGGCTCGACCCCGGCCGACGTGTAAACGTAGCCAGGTGGCGACCTGTATCCGCCTCCGTACAGTGGGTCACCCGCTGACGAGCAGGGGTGAACTGGTGGACACCTGCATCCTGGAGGTCAGCACCACTC